ATTTTCTAGAATGGGCCAACCATACCTATAATGGTATTATCCTATAATAGTATTATCTTATTACAAGATTTTTATTAGGATTTTCTAGAATGCCTATTATGTCTTAAAGCTTGATCTTGCTGACTTTGCCAAAGTTAGTGGACATTTATTGAGTTCTCTATTTTTTTTTTCTCCAGATTTGTCTAAATTCTTCAAGATAAGTGTGCATTAAATGTTCGCCAAGAAAAAGAAAAGAAAAAAAAAGTGTGCATTAAATTTAACATAAATTATCCATAAGAGAATCTGAACCACTTGACCCTACTGGAGGCAAAGTAGAACTTTGTGCAAGCAAAAGTCACATATAATGATAAAATACCAACTCATTTTCCACACATTATTAATTATTTCCTAATTAAGATGTTAAACCAACGTCTAAGTAAGAGAATCCACAATCATGCTCTCTAATTTTTAGGTAAAATTTAGCTAAAAACACTAGAAGCTATTTTAGGAGCTATCTATAAAATTTCAACTCCAACCATACTCCCTAATTTAAAGAGTTATAAATGTTTTTAATAAATTTTAATTCAATTTTTGAATAAAGTGTAGACACAAAAGCAATAATAAAAAATAGTTGGCATTAAATAAATGCTTAAAATAATATTAAATATAGAAGCATTTAATTATAGGGAGTCACTAGGAGTACTTTCTCTCTCCTTAGATTTAGGAGCTCCTATAAGTCTCCCTATTTTAGGAGCTGGATAGAGAGCATGGTTGGAGATGAGTTTTTTCAATTCCTCCTAAATTTTAACAAAGGAGGTGGTTTAAGGAGCCCATTGTGGATGCTCTAAGTATATATCACATCACATCAATATGCATTATTGGTAGTTGAACTCAAAATAAATTTAATTGAGTCAATAGAGCCCCTTTATAGCTAAGCATATATATATATATATATATATCAAGCATCCACTTGGTTTCAAGGTAAGAGGTTCCTTTGATGTTCATAATGCTCCAAATCCAAGTTCCTTCTCTGCCTCTCTTTACTTCTTTGGTCATCCTAGTTACCCTAATTATATGTTGGAAGAGATTTATATCCCCTACAGTCAGAGTACCAATTCTTAGGCTGCCTCCAGGGCCATGGAAGCTACCTCTGATTGGAAACTTGCACAATTTGACTGGCTCTTTACGTCACAGCCTAAGAGACTTGGCCAAGAAACATGGACCCATCATGCACCTCAAGCTGGGGCAAGTATCAGCCATTGCCATTTCATCACCAGAATTAGCCAAACAAGTCTTGAAGACTCATGAGACTGCAGCTTTCTCACAAAGGCCTACTGTTCTTGCCGTTGAAGTTTTGTCCTATAATTTCTTAGGCATCATCACTAGCCCTTATAATGAGTATTGGAGGCAGATGAGGAAGATTTGTGTTTTGGAGCTTCTAAGCGCGAAGCGTGTGCAGTCATTTTCATCAATAAGAGAAGAAGAGGCATGGAACCTTGTTGAATCAATTAGCTTGTCACAGGGCCAACCTATCAACCTCAGTGAGATGATTTTCTCCATGCAAGACAGCATCATTGCCCGTTCAGCCTTGGGAAAAAAATGCAAATACCAACAAGAGTTTAGATCATTGATTAAGGAAGCATTCATCCTTGGAGAAGGCTTTTCTTTGCCTGATTTGTTCCCTTCCCTCAAATTCCTCCGTCACGTCACAAGGACGAAGTCTGCACTGGAGAAGATACACCGGAAGATTGACAGAATTCTTGATGAAATCATTGATGATCATCATGAGTTGAAAAGAGTAAATACGAATATTGTTGCATCTATCACCACCAGAACTGATGAAGTATTGCAGGAAGGTCCAGTTCACGTGCTTCTACAACTTCAGGAGTCTGGTGGCCTCCAATTTGATCTCACCACCAACCACATAAAAGCTGTCATCCTGGTACAAGTTATATGAATTGCTTAATTTGTCGATGATTTAATTATCTAGTAACGTCCTCATGCCTGACAAGTGTTTATGTTGTGAGACTGTGAATCTAAATCACACACGTTCTGACAAGAATTAATGTATACATAACTAAACAATCCTTTTACAGGACATGTACTTAGCAGGAGCTGAGACTTCAGCAACAACCACAGAATGGGCAATAGCAGAACTTGTGAAAAATCCAAGAGCAATGGAGAAAGCACAAGCTGAGGTACGACACCTTCTTGCAGGAAAGAGGAAAAGTATTCAAGAGGAAGACATTAAGAAACTAGACTACTTGAAGTTAGTCATAAAAGAAACTCTACGGCTACACCCTCCTGTTCCCTTAATTCCAAGAGAAGCAACTCAAAGAATCAAAATTGGAGGATATGATATACCAACAGAAGCCAAAGTTCTGATCAATGCTTGGGAAATTGGGAGAGACCCAAAACACTGGGACAATGCTGATTGCTTTCTTCCTGAAAGGTTTCAAGGTTCATCTATCGATTTTCGAGGGACCAACTTCGAATTAATTCCATTTGGGGCTGGTAAGAGAATATGTCCAGGCATCTCATTCGGAATTGCATCGGTTGAGCTTGCACTTTCTCAACTGCTCTACTACTTCAACTGGCAACTCCCCAATGGGAAAAAGGTAGAAGAGCTTGACATGACTGAGTCTTTGGGAATGACCTCTAGGAGGAGGAATGACTTGTATGTTATCGCCACTCCCTTCGTTCCGTCCTAATGGAACATCGTGAATTATGGCATATATAGGTCTCTTGCCTGACAGTTCAGCAAAATAAAGTGGGGATTTTCAGTTTGGAAATAATATTGAAATAAGAATCAACTAAGTAATCAATAGTGCGGATTTTCAGTTTGGAAATAATATTAATGCTTTATATTATGTTGCCCGACTATGCTGTGCTACATATTTATACAAAATTTCAGTGAATAAAGTGGTTTACTAGATTGACAAGCTAACTACATATATTATATGCCAACTGTCTAGCTAGAGAACTTCCCCATATCTATGTATCTATTTCGGTGGCTAAAGCTGTTGTACAACAATAATGGAAGGGGCATGACAAGGTTTGGCTTGGCCGGAGTTTGATACTTACAGATGACAGGCCCCTATATATATTAATTCAAAATATTAATATTTTGCTTGTAAAAAGGATAAAGATCTTTATGTGTATGTGGAATAAATAAATTTATGAATGAAATACACACATAAATAAATTTATAAATTTATAAATTTATGAATAGAGTTATTTGTGATTCATTAGTTAGCACTGAGAAAAACCACCTAATTAGAATGGGAGGTATCGGAAAGAATTTAAATTCTCATTCCCCAATATCGCTTGTATAAATAAAATAATTGAAGAAATAACTCTAGCCCAATGAGCTAAATTGGTCTTTTCAGGTAAGTCCATGACTATGGACAAGCTAAATGAAAGTAAAACCAATAACCGATTACACAATACCGCTGAACTGAGCCTGTTCATGTTTACAAGATGGTCCCTCCAGAAACAATCAAGGGTTTTCACCAGAACTGCTCTATGTTTTCAGATGCAATTTTGGTTAAGGAAAAAAAAAAAGTTAAAAGGATCACTATAAAAAAAAAAAAAACAAATGAGCATATACTAACTACTTATAAAGAATAAATGAGCATAATAAATACTGATAAGAAGATCTGTAAGCAAAACGATTATTCTACTTCTAAACTTAAACCTAGAAAACTGGAATTTCTACCTGGAATCAAAGTAAATAATCCTATTTCTAGAGCAAACTCAAACTCAAACTCATCTATTTAGAACCATTAAGCAGGTGTCATATTTACGTAATCATATAGCAACAAATATTCCAACTTATGAGTGCAGGTATTTTTTTTTTTTTTCTTCTTAAAGGCAATATAATCATAAGTTAATAAATCCATGTTAGCATTCATCACCTATCGTGATATGAAAAAAATAAATTAAAGTATGCTTGACGAGAAGATTCTTACTTCAACTTCCTTCACATATGTATCATCGTAACCAGACTCTTCAATAACATCCAAGTATGAAACAATTAAAAAATCTCCAAGATACTTGCGGAGGAGGCTACTAGTAGCATGGTACCGTCCGTTCCTACATTAGACATATCAGGGGATGATAAAACTCATAATATTGTAAAAAGTAAAAAGCAAAAAGCAAAAAAGAAATGACACAAAATAAAAACTCATAACATAACTATTAATTAAAGTAATTAAAAAAGAGAAATCCATATTATGCTACTTAAAGGGTATAGCCACGCGGCCAGTGGCAGATCCAAGATTATGTGGCCAAGGGGTCACAGTGTAAAAGTTCCGAAATTTTTCTACAAAGAAAATAATACTAAAAAGATAGAAAGATAGTACTTCCATTCATAATTCATAACAAAACCAATAATACAAGTTACAATTGTCCACGACGAATTTTCATATTATGAAAATGTTGCATTATAGTTTTGTTATCAATACAAGCAAAAACATCTCTCTCAATTTAAACAATCAAGCTATCATACAACCATTGATCTCATCTACTTCAATTGGTCTTGCATTTGAACTACCTAGATTAGATGGAGAAGGACTATCCGTAGATAATTTTCTTTTAAAGAATCATTCCATAAATCTACACATCAATTAATTCAATCAATCATTAATTTTTATCCAAATTATCATATGAATATGAAAATGTCAATAACCCGCTATCAATATTCAATATACCAAATTATCATATAAAATATCAATCAATATTCAATATACTCAATCAATCCACATTATCAATAAAGCATAAACTCAATCAATCAACATTATCAATTTATCATTATCTATAAGGCTTTTTATCACAAAACGTTCCTGACGTTTGCGAAACTATCAGATTGCATCCTTAAAGTTTTTTTGTATCACTTATGGTCCCTAACGTTAATATGGGTGCTCTTAAATAGTCCCTCTATAAAAAAAAACTATTAAATCCAGGGATATAATCGTCAAATCAATCCAAAATTATAAAATATATATAATTGGTTTTCTTAAATGATAGACTATGAAGGATCGCAAGATCAGTTGGTTTTCTGTTTGAAAGAGCCAAACTCCTGTTTGGCAAGAACTCATGCAATCAGAATCTCCACCAAGGCTAGGCAAAACAAAGACAGGGACTTTGAGATCAAGGGATATTTTCCTGATAAAGATTGTAGCATTGTTGACTCAAGAGGCAACACAATGGCACAGGTAATAATTCCTATTCATGAAAGAATATATAAAAAGTTATTGTTTGTTTCTATTGAAATTCTGAATGTTTTGATTTGTTTATTGATCACAATGAAACATAGATAGGGGTGAAGAAGGAGTTGATGGCAAGCAAGGATCTCTACCATGTTGTGGTGACACCAGGCATGGATAACGCTTTTGTTATTGGGGTCATTACCATTCTTGATTACATATATGGAGAATCCACTAGGTGCTAGTAATTCAGATATTCAAGAGAAGCTTTCCTTGATGTCACATCAAAACATGACATCTGCACAAATCAATTTTCTGCAATTTGGATGCTGCTAATGCTCTGTTTTGATCTCCCCCTCTCTCTCTCTCTCTTTTCATTTTTCTCGGATTGTGTTTTAGTTGTGTCCTAAAAGTCAAATTTCCAGATCAACTTCAGACTTATATATGCTTTGGGCTCTGGCCAATTGCGACGGATGTTCCAAATTTCCTAATTTTTTGTATTTTTCCAATCCTGGTTATGGTTACAGGTTTCTAGACTTATATATATTATAATTTTGGATTGATTTGACGATTATATCCCTGGATTTAACAGTTTTTTTGTCAGAGGGACTATTTAAAGAATGAGATGCTAATTCTCATCTAACACATGTTGTTTGAATTCTCATTTAGAATAGTTCGTATATCAATTTCATATGATTTATGTTACCTTCAATTTATTTCAAAACAGAGCTGCAAACTTCTCTTCGTTGTCTAAGTTAGACTGTTTTGTATCCAATTTTTCATCTGCATAGAATACATTGCGGACTGATATATCTCATAGCAGAAGAGAAGGGTTGTCAAGTGCAATGAGAAAAAAGGCTGTAATTGGGTTTAGTTCACAATTACGATTACATTTTAAAAAGTAAATTCCTATACAAACAATTTTATACTATGAAATTCAACCTTCTTTGATCCACAAAATGTTGGCGGATCCCTATTTTTTGTTGTTGTATTTATGGGTTTAACTCGTATTATTTGTTATAAATAAAATCCATTTTTTAATTCTTGCCCAATGGGCTAATAGCTGAAAATCATTAGAATGAGAAGTATCGGAAAGAATTTAAATTTTCATTCCTCAATATCACTTGTATAAATAAAATAATTGAAGAAATAACTCTAGCCCAATGGGCAAAAGTGGTATTTTAGCCCTAGACCCTAAAACGATAGGACAAAAATGTATATTTAAAGGGTAAATACATTTGAATATTTTAAAAGTATAGCCGAACGGCTAGACTCTTTAAATATTAACATATTCGAATATTTTAAGAGTACAGCCGCACGGCTATACTATTTAAATATTACTACGAAGCTTGCACTCGCAGTCGCAGCCATTTCGCTTCTCTATCAAAATGAAAGCTTCGATTGGTTTTCTTCGATTTCGGCTGCTTCGTCCTCCTGGTTTGGCACCAAAAAAAGACCCAAACTGCCTAGGAGGCCCGCCCAGCCGTCTAGCCGCCTTGCGCCCGCCTAGCCCCCGCCTAGCGGCCTAGCGCCCGCCTAGCCCAACATCACCGGCTTGTTGCAGATTTTGACAGAGAAAAATCTGATAGCAGAGACAGGGTCGAGTTCCAGAGCCATAGAATTGGACCATATTCAGGAGGAGATTGAGGAGGTGTCTGCCGTTCCGGAAGTGAAGGAGAAGAAGAAGAGCAGAAATGCTTTAAGGAAGGGGTCGGAAGGTGAAGAGGTCCGAGCTATGCCGGTCTGCTTGCTTTTGAAAGGCGAGTTTTGATTTTTCAGAGTCTATCGTTCATTTCTTGTGTTTTTTTTGATGGTGTATATCATGCTCATCTACCAGTTTATTTATATATTTAATTGACTCGTTTGAATTTTTAATTCCCAGACAATTCTTCAGAAAGCATCTGGAGCATGGAAAAATTCTGTACAAGAAATGCAGAAAGTGGGAAAGTTGGATCCCAAAGTGAACGGACAAAGCATCCAGCCTGTCTCCAGCAGTGCTCAAACACCAGAAATGACTGCAGTTCAAGATCACACTATTAGGATCTTAAAAGACTATTGGGATTTTAAAAGACAATTCTTCAGAAAGCATAAGGTGTCAAGAAAAGTGTTTTGTTGCTCCTTTTACTTGATTTTTTGTTGTTGTCATTGAGTTTTCGTTTCTTCTTAGTAACAGGTGAATAAGGAAGATAGACTTGTTTATGAACCTTATTAATTGCATTTGTCTTTATAGCTTCTTATCAGACTTATATGTTGTGTACTCCTACCATGTTATCTGGACTCAATGGCTTTATCTTTTTATTTGCTTTAAACTTTTATTTATTTCTTTTGCATCTGTGTCATTTAGTCTCTTGAACTAGTCTATATTATGATAATTTTGTAGAGAAATAACACAACTAGGAAGCAAGAGGTGAAGGCATCGGTACAAGAGCTTGCTTCTCGAGCTGCTTCCCGAGTCAAGGCTGTAGCTGCCGAAAATATCACACCACCAAATTCGGCATATCAATTTGAGGTTTCTTGGCGAGGATTCTCTGGAGATAATGCTCGACAGACTAGCCTGTTGAAGGTCTGCAAAAGTTTTCATGTGGTTTACTGTAAAAAATATAGTCTGCCAAAATGCAAGATTCATATGTTCGTTATCATCCCAAAGTAGGTGACCATGAATGTGTTCTTTTTGCATGGTGGTCATCCGTGCGGTTGACCACTGCAAAGATTCTATTAGTCTCGTCTATTGTCCTCTTTGGATGGTTGCCAGAAGTATACCCGTAATTGCATTGTCAGTCTGCCTATCTAGCTTCTGCATGCTAGGGGCCATCCAAGAAGTTCCCCATTTGTTGTGTCCCTTTTGAACAATTTCAAATGTCCGTAAAGGATTGTGAATGCAGTTGGTATTTGTTTAGGAGATCATCACTCATTTTGACTTTCCATTTATGCTGTTTTAAATTCCTTGAGATTTTCAAAAGCTTACAGTTGAATTCCTGGATTTCAAATGTTTTTTTAAGTAGAGTATACCTATATCAATGTGGTATATCAGTCTCAGCGACTGGTAACGCTTGCACTGTGTCTTGATTGAATCGTTCCTTATTTTCTGATTTGTTAGTCATCCTGCCCATTTTTATAGGGTTTATGATTCATATTTTCCATTAGTTTCATATCACCCAATAACCTTGCAAACAGATCTTGTTAAGATATGGGATGAAGTGTTTGACAATGAGGCAACTCCGATTGAGTATGCTGAGACACTTGATAACCTACATACAAAGTACTGCCCCAAGCGATGACAAAGCTCAACAAGTTTCTACTTTACCCTCCTCCACCTCTTTTACCGTAAATTCAAGTTGTAAAATTTTGAAATGCTCCAACGACCCCTTTGAATCTCAAATTATATCGTGGACAACTTTTCTATCCATTTATCGAGATGTTAAAAGTATATTGCAACTTTTACTTCACTCCTATTGGACTTGAATACTTTGAACTTGGAACTGTTGGTAAGAATGTGCTTGTGAGCGTCCATGTTTTGGTCGGGTGGACATAGCCTACTCTTGTTCAGTCATATTCATTGAGGTCCAGAGGTTAATGGTGGCGATAACCTGTTTCTTCATGCCCTACCTATCATTCACTACCTTATTTTTCATACAACATATGTATATCTTTGCATACTGAGTTGTTTCAAGTTGCAATCAATCAATGTTATGTGGGGGTCTTCCAGATTTTGCACTACGCTTTTCACATGGAGATCATGTGTCATTTATAATCACCTGACTCTTTCATGTTAACCCCACTATATTATGCATCAAAAATAAAAACCCTACCTTATAATACAGAAAATAACCCTACATGCAAGTAGATGCTTTGTAATCTTACAGATCAGAGATCATTTTCTGTGAACTCGCCCAAATAATGCAAAAACAGAACCAGAATACTGATTGGCTAGGCATATATTATGTGCTGCTCGCGAAAGATTTCTCTTCGAAGCAAAAACGGTTGGAGATAGGAGGTTGAACAGAGTTTGTATGGCCAAGTAACTAGCAAAAAGTAAAAAGACTTCTCTTCTGGAATGGATGAGCAACTAGCTAAGGAGGCAATAAAAGCAGGTAGACCATTGATCTTGCGTTAATAGTCATGTGTATGTTTTGTGATGTACATTTTACAGTGCAGAATGGTCTTCAAGATAATTTTCTGTTTCTTATAGAGGCTTGTCTAGTTGCATTAATACCAAGAATTTCCTCACACTTAAGTGATTGTTCTTAATGCATAGCTTGTTGCTGCATTTTCAAAAGGCCGAGAGAGTGATTACTTCTACGCTTCTTTATATTCTGGGCTTTATTATGAAAGTCAGGTTTCTTAACGCCTAGCTTGTTGCTGCATTTTCAAAACACCTAGGCGGTCTAAAACACTTGAATGGCGTTTGCCACGCGTCAAAACACTTGAAAGTACCCCCGATTTCGAAGTTGGCCAAAGTGAGTTGGGGCTCCAAGTTTCAACATATCCAAAGCAGATATTGAAAAGAGAGAAATTTCAAAGTAAATCAATTTGAGAGTTCAATTTTTTCTTCTTCTTTTTTTCGTGAGAGTGTTTGCCTTTGATCTACATCGGTCTCTAGAGTGCTACCAAATTATGTTACCGCACACATTATTTTGCGTAGAGAATTGCATGCTGGGTTAGAGTGGTCTTGGTAATTGCTTCACTTTTCAAACAACACTTTACATGAAGAATACTACCGCTTCTCTTACTACTACTATACCCATAACACTTTGTTTGACATTGTTGTTCTCGTTGGCAAAGAGATTGCAAAATCACCATCTTGCATTTTTCTCACAACAAGTAAGAAATAATATCAGCTTCGCAATTTCTTTCATAGTTAGTAAAATACGGAACAGGAAAAATACGAATAAAATACGTACGTGTTTTATTCGGCAAAATTTTGGCAAGTTACAACTGAAAAGTTCGGCCACTATATAATATTTTAATATATATTATTTTGATTCAATAATATGTGAAAATTATGTGTATATAATACCTGTATATGAAGAATTTACACGTGTATTTGAATTTTTTGTGTATTATTGAAAATTTTGTAAAAAAAAACGTGTATATGAAAAATATATACATATGTGTACAATATGTGTATTGTATGTTTGCTTTTTTACAAAAGGTGTATTTTACCTAGTCTTTAAGACATGTATGGAAAACATAGGTGTTATTGAAAAATACATACGTATGTGTATACGAGTATTAAATGGCAAAATGCAAAATTCTTTATACGGGTAATAACTTTGGAAAAGTAAAAACTCAAAAGGGAACAATAGAGACTCGGGTAATGTAGCAATGGTAATGGATAATGCTATAAACCACTCTTATCGATAAAAGAAAATTAGGGAAATTTTCTTAAAAAAAGGACCTAGTTTAGCCGCACGGCTGTACTATTTATTAAAAATAAAAATAAAAAAAAGTGTCGCGTATAGCCGAATGGCTGTCCTATTTATGAGAGTATAGCCGGGCGGTTACGCTATACTATTTATAAAAATAAAATAAAAAATCCACCTAGCCCCTAGGCGGCCCATTTTTTATTTTATTTTTTTTTACTCGTATAGCCGGCGGCTATACTATTCATTTTTTAAAACAAATTAAAAAAACCACATTATAGCCGCGAGGCTATACTATTTATGAAAAAAAATTAACGAAACACCATAGTATAGCCGCGCGGCTATGATCTTTAAATACAATATATTTAAACCGTATATCCGTGCGGCCATTCTATTTATTAAAAATTTTATAAAAAAAACTAGATCCCAATATAGCCGCGTGGCTGTACTATTTATTAAAAATAATTAAATAGAAAAATGGACCCTCCTAATAGTGCCTAGGTGACCATTTTTAATTTTTTAATTTTTTAATTTTTTTTAAAGAGTATAGCCGCCCGGTTATACTCCTTGCGGCTATACTATTTATTTGAAAAAATAAAAAATATTCCACGGTAAGAACTAAGAGCACGAAAAGCACCATTGCTCAACCTAATCAACTCTTGACAATTCCTCTTGCAATAACGTTGGCTGTTGGAGTTTTATGAGTCATTCTATATACAAGGGTATCTTTACTTGAAATTGATGTGATTTCAAAAATCATTGGACTGATAAACCTTAACTTTACCCCTCTTTGGTCCCACTATAAGTGTATTGCAAGTACCCTTCTGCTCAGGAAAGAGAGTTAACAGAGAGAGGTTAAGCTGGAAGCAAAACAAAAGCTTTCTAGTTTGAGAGTTTGCAAAGAAGTGTGCCCTAGCAATTTTGAAATTTTATGGCCTACTTCCATTAGTTTATACTTTATAGTTATTAATTTGCTAGATTCAACATATCCAAAGCAGATATTGAAAAGAGAGAATTTTCATAGTAAATCAATATGAGAGTTCAATTTTTTCTTCTTCTTTTTTGTGTGGGAATATTTGCCTTTTATCTACCTCGTTCTCTTGAGTGATACTAAATTATGTTACTGCACTAATTATTTGTCATAGAGAATTGCACGCTGAGTTGGAGTGGTCTTTGTAATTGCTTCACATTTCAAACAACACTTTACATGAAGAATACTACCGCTTCTCTTACTATTATACCCATAACACTTTGTTTGACATTGTTGTTCTCGTTGGCAAAGAGATTGCAAAATCACCATCTTGCATTTTTCTTACAACAAGTAAGAGATAATCTCAACCTCTCAATTTCTTTCATAGTTAGTAAAATATAGAACGGGAAAATATGAACAAAATACGTACATGTTTTATTCAGCAAAACTTTGGCAAGTTACAATTGAAAAGTTCGGCCACTATATAATATTTTAATATATATTATTTTGATTCAATAATATGTGAAAATTATGTGTATAATACATGAATTTTGTGTCTATAATTGAAAGTTTTGTAAAAACCACGTGTATTAAAAATGAAAAATACGTACGTATGTGTACTATAAGTGTATTGTATGATTGCTTTTTACAAAACGTGTATTGTACCGAGTCTTTAAAACGTGTATAGAAAATGATATTATTGAAAATACATACGTACGTGTATAATACAAGTATTAAACGGGAAAATGCTAAATTCTTTATATGGGTAAAACTGTGGAAAAGTACAAAATCAAAATGGGACAGTGGAGACTCTGGTAACGAAGTTATAGTATTGGATAATGCTCTAAACTACTCTTATTGATAAAAGAAAATCAGAGATTTATTTATTTTTATAAAAAGGACCCAGTATAGCATTAATAAAAATGAAATAAAAAAGTCCCGAATATAGCCGCCCGGCTATACTATTTATTGAATAAATAAAAAATCCTGGTGTATCAGGCTATACTCTTTCAATATTATTTTAAAAAAAGTGTGTTGGCTATGGATATGAATTGCTGAATTAAGTTACATAGTGTTGGCTAAGGTTGTTATCAGATCTTTGGGAAAGGGGCCTATCACTTTACTATCTTGATAGGTACTAGTTCTTTGATGGTTCTTGTTTCCATATGATTTTGTTAGGTACTGAGATAATTAAATTTTGAAAAACAATAATACTTGATGTAGAAAAAATTAAAAAGTGTGTCACTTTAGCCTTAGATATGTCATTGGAATAAAAGTAAAAATTAAGGTTTTTATTTTATTTTATTTATCTGAGGAAGATTATGGATGAAGTTAAACTAGGTTTTGAGCTAGTGACTTTTGGCCATATGTAGGAGCAAGCATAACCAAGTATATTTATGAGTGAATGTATAATTCTAGCTGACACTTTTTTAAGTGCTTTTTACTCCCATGTATTGAGTGAAAAGTTGAATAAAATTCTTCTAACCACATACCAGATGAATGCAGATTGGCAAGATCCGAAACCTGTCATGCGAGACACCTATAACATGTTTAAAGGTGGGGGTGATCTAGAAAAGGTGTTGACTAAGAAATTTTTTATTTGACCAAAACCATTTCTTAGTTGAGCTAGCTAGTTGTGTAGTTCATAAGGTTAGAATTTAGAAAGGCATCTCATGTATGTGCGTCTCCCAATATATTCTCATGTGGTGGTGTTGGTTGTGGAGATGGTGGTGGATGTGGAGGTTTTGGAGGAGGTGGTGGTGGTGGTGGCGGTGGCAGTGGCGGGTGGCGGTGGTTGTGGAGGTAGTGAATGTGGTGGTTCAAGTGGTGGAGCTGGATGTGGAAGTGGAGGTGGTGTGCATTTTTTTAAAATGAATGATGATATTTTGGGAATTTAAAAAATTCATTCAAGGTTCATCTATGCTTCTTTTGAAAGTAGCTTTGAAAAGCAACCCACAGTCTACTTTTAAAAGCTACTGTCAAAAGGCCACTTCTTTTAAAATAATTGGGATATTTTATTTTTACCAAACACCTTAAACTGCTTAACTTTAAAGTGAAGCAGGTTTTTGGCAAAAAAAAGTAATCCCAAGCAATTTTACACTATGAAATTCAACCTTCTTTGATCCACAAAATGTTGGCGGATCACTAATTTTTGTTGTTGTATTTATGGGTTTAACCCATATTATTTGTTATAAATAAAATCCATTTTTTTTATTCTTGCCCAATGAGCTAATAGTTATAAATCATTAGAATGGGAGGTATCATAAAGAATTTAAATTTTCATTCCCCAATATCGCTTGTATAAATAAAATAATTGTAGAAATAACTCTAACTTTTAGCCCTAAACCCTAAAACGATATGCCAAAAATGTATATTTAAAGGGTATAGCCGCACGGCTATACTTTCTAAATACATTCGAATATTTTAAAGGTATAGCCAAACGGCTAGACTCTTTAAATATTAATATATTCGAATATTTTAAGAGTACAGCCCATAGAATTGGACAATATTCAGGAGGAGATTGAGGAGGTGTCTGTCGTTCCGGAAGTGAAGGAGAAGAAGAAGAGAAGAAATGCTTTGAGGAAAGGGTCGGAAGGTGAAGAGGTCTGAGCTATGCAGGTCTGCTTGCTTTTGAAAGGCGAGTTTTGATTTTTCAGAGTCTATCATTCATTTCTTGTTTTTTGTTTATGATTTAGTGTTGTCTTTGAATTATAAAATGGTACTTTTAAGTTTGGCAAATTGAAAACTGAGCAGCATACAGTTTATTACAACTTACAAGGGGGTATTAACTTTCTCTTTGGTATAGAAAGTTGTTAACTTTTGTTTCTTTTATTTTTCTGTAACTGGGTTTGTGTGGTTATTTCCTTTTCTAGTGTTCGCTTCGTTTTTGGATGTAATATTTGTGATTTCAACAGGAAGCATTGCAAAAACTAGGATTTTACTCGGGTGAGGAAGACATGGAGTTTTCCAGCTTCTCAAGCGGGACCGAATGCCCTGTCAAGACTTGGCAAGTAAGTTTCAGTTATCATTAGATGTTACTATGTATAATGCATGAAGAGTAAAATTTCATAATCATCAAGTTGAACAAAAATTTCACAACGCAAAATATATATGTTAGTCAACTTGTAATATCTTGTTTGACAGGTCTCCTTAGACGCCCCTCAAGATGGCATAGTGACTGCAGAACTTCTTGAACAATTATATACGGTGGCACAAATTGAGGGTCTGGATAACAAAGGGAGTACTCTGACTGCTACACAAAAGGTATAGCCTTCTGACGACATACCATTAGCCTTTATTAAGTGGAAGCTGTTGATGTTTTAAGTTTCAGTACCAATATATCATTCCTCACTTGGAACTGAACATAATGGTTTGGTAAGTCATTAGTTGCATTCCTCGAGAGGAGCCAAAAACTCATTTGATGGTTCAATTTGAAGTGAACTAAGCCTTCATTTTCATTTTCTTCAAGCAGATTGTGAAGAATTGTAGCAAACAGTACTAAGTACCATCCAAGAAGCTCTGTTACTTAATTGAGAAACGGACCTGAAGCTCTGACTCTATTTTCAGTAACTTAGACATCAGGTTTCTTGGTTCCAGTTCATGAGACAATCACTTAACATGCAAATAAATACGATATGAGAGTGACGTAATGTGCTGTGGTAACTGGTAACACACCGTAACTTATTTTGGATACTAATAAATGAAGCTGATTATATTGGTGAACTGATTTTCTTCTCCTGGTTGGCCTTGAGCTAGCAACATGATCATTTTCGTATAAGCTATAGCGAACCACTACATAGGCTGAAACATCATAATTCTTCTAATGGTTGCGTGGGTTCTGTTGTTGAGGAAGATACAAATGGAGCTGCAGTTACTTCTGCAACAGAAATTTCAGAGGTCCAGCAAACACTTGTGAAAGAAGGCGTTACAAAAGTAGAGGTATCTGAGCATCGTGTTTTTCTCCTTGGATATTAATATTCTCATTTTCGAGCGTTATCCATCCAGGATGAAGTTTTAATTATTTTGTTAAATGACAGCAGTTCCTGGATTGGGTGGAAGAAGGAGCCAAATGTCCATATTGTGAAGGTCATGGCTTTACAATTTGCGACGTATGTGAAGGGGCAACAGTAGCTTAGGTATGAAAATATCTTCCCATAAAGACATGTGCAGTTTTATGCTTTAGTACATGTGTTTAATGGTAGTTTGCATTTATAAACAAATGCAGAAAATCATATGTATATCTACTGTTTATTATACAAGTCAACGAGGTCTAGCTTAGTGGAAAAGAGCAATGACTTGCAAATCAGAGGTCTCATGTTCGAACCACGACATCATAAGTGGCGCGGGGTCCTCTTATTTAATATGTAAAAATAGTACAGCCGCACGGCTACATTCAGTTTTTTTTTAAGTATAGCCGCACGGTTATACTATTTTACAAACCCTTTAAGCAGCATAATATGTATTTCTCTTTTTTAATTACTTTGAAGTTAATTAAAATATTTAATACTAATTATTCACAACGTAAATAATAACTAAAACATAATTACTAATTTAACTAATTAAATCAGCCAAATATATTATTTAATTACTAAAAATAAAACTTTGAAAAATTAATTAACCTAAACATCCTAAGTTTATATTTATTTTTGTATAAAAAGACCTCTCCCGACGAATTTCGTCGGCACAAGTCTATTACACCTCTCCCGACAAAATTTTGTTGGCAAAGGTTCTTTTGTCGGGAGAAACCTAATCCGACGAATATTTGCCGGCATAGACCTATTCCGACGAAATTTTGTCGGGAGAAGTGTTTATGTTATTTTTTTTAAAATAAAATAAAATTAGTTTCTTCACTTTTGTTTTTTCGCCAACTTCTTTAATTTAATTAATATCTTATCCTTTTTAATTTAAATTCTTCTGTGCAAAAAAAAAAAAATATTACTTATTTTCGTTTGGGTGTCTTAATTAAACTTCCCCAAAGCCCAAGAGCGGCTATAGTCTTTTATGTATAAGTATATATGTATGTACGTATTTTTCAATAATACATTCGTATTCTATACACATCTACCATTTTTTAAAAATCAAATGTACAATAGTTGTATTGTACATGTACATACACATTTCTAACGCTTAATACCCATATTTTTTTACAAAATTTTCAGTAATTCACACAAAGTTCACGTATTATACAAATAATTCTCACATATTATCGAATACGAATAATATATGTTCTAAAATATTACATAGTGGCTTATTAATATCTACTTTGGATATGTTGAAACTAGCAAATTAATATCTATAAAGTACAAACTAATGAAAATTGGAGGGTCCTTTTGTTTTTTTTAAAACAATTTATATATTAAATAGTATAGATACACCTTTTACAATCGTATAGCCGTGCAGCTATACAACGATTTTTTTTTTTCAAAAATAGTATAGTGAGACGTGACGTCTGATCGCTGGAGGGTCTTCCTTTTTTATAAAAAAAAATATTTAGTACAGCCGCGCGGCTATACGCTGCGTTTTTAATTTTTTTTAAAACGAAGACCAGTCTTGACACGTGGCGCCCAATGACTGGGGTCCTCTTATTTTATATGTAAAAATAGTACAGCCGCACGGCATACTCAGTTTTTTTTTACAAGTATAGCCGCACGGCCATACTATTTTAAAAACCCTTTAAGTAGCATACGGCTATACTCAGTTTGTCCTTAATTTTTAAAACGTATTTCTCTTTTTTAATTACTTTGAAGTTAATTAAAATATTTATTCCAATTATTCACTACGTAAATAATAACTAATTTAACTAATTAAATCAGTCAAATATATTATTTCATTACTAAAAATAAAATTTTAAAAAACTAATTAACCTAAACATCCTAAGTTTTTATATATATATTTTTAAAAAGAGCTCTCCCGACAAAATTTCGTCGGCAAAGCTTCTTTTGTCAGGAGAAACCTAATCCGACGAATATTTGCCGGCATAGACCTATGCCGACGAAATTACGTCGGGAGAAGTGTTTATGTTATTTTTTCTTTAAAAAATATAAAATTAGTTTCTTCACTTTTGTTTTTTCGCCTACTTCTTTAATTTAATTAATATCTTATCCTTTTTAATTTAAATTCTTCTGTGCAAAAAAAAAAAAAAAAAATTACTTATTTTCGTTTGGGTGTCTTAATTAAACTTCCCCAAAGCCCAAGAGCGGCTATAGTCTTTTGTGTATATGTATATATACGTACGTATTTTTCAATAATACATCCGTATTCTATACATGTCTACTGTTTTTAAAAAATCAAATGTACAATAGTCGTATTGTACATGTACATACGCATTTCTAATGCTTAATACCCATATTTTTTTCACAAAATTTTCAGTAATTCACACAAAGTTCACATATTATACAAATAATTCTCACATATTACCGAATACGAATAATATATGTTATAAAATATTATATAGTGGCTTATTAATATCTACTTTGGATATGTTGAAACTAGCAAATTAATATCTATAAAGTACAAACTAATGAAACTTGGAGGGTCTTCTTTTCTTTTTTTAATTTATATATTAAATAGTATAGATACACGTTTTAGAATAGTCTAGCCATGCGGCTATACTACGAAATTTTTTTTTTTTTCCAAAAATAGTACAGTGAGACGTGGCGTCTGATCGCTGAAGAGTCCACCTTTGTTTTTAAAAAAAATTTAGTACCGGCGACCGGCTATACTCTGCGTTTTTAATTTTTTTCAAAACGTAGGGTTGTCTTGACACGTGGCGCCTAATGATTGGGGCCCTCTTATTTTATACGTAGAAATAGTACAGCCGCACGGCTATACTCAGTTTGTCCTTAATTTTTAAAACGTATTTCTCTTTTTTAATTACTTTGAAGTTAATTAAAATATTTATTCCAATTATTCACTACGTAAATAATAACTAATTTAACTAATTAAATCAGTCAAATATATTATTTCATTACTAAAAATAAAATTTTAAAAAACTAATTAACCTAAACATCCTAAGTTTTTATATATATATTTTTAAAAAGAGCTCTCCCGACAAAATTTCGTCGGCAAAGCTTCTTTTGTCAGGAGAAACCTAATCCGACGAATATTTGCCGGCATAGACCTATGCCGACGAAATTACGTCGGGAGAAGTGTTTATGTTATTTTTTCTATAAAAAACAAATCAAATTAATTTCTTCACTTTTGTTTTTTCGCCAACTTCTTTAATTTAATTAATATCTTATCCTTTTAAATTTAAATTCTTCTGTGAAAAAATAAAAAAAATAAAATACTTATTTTCGTTTAGGTGTCTTAATTAAACTTCGCCAAAGCCCAAGAGCGGCTATAGTCTTTTATGTATATGTATATATACGTACGTATTTTTAAATAATACATTCGTATTCTATACACGTCTACTGTTTTTTAAAAATCAAATGTACAATAGTCGTATTGTACATGTACATACGCATTTCTAATGCTTAATACCCATATTTTTTCACAAAATTTTCAGTAATTCACACAAAGTTCACGTATTATACAAATAATTCTCAAATATTATCGAATACGAATAATATATGTTATAAAATATTATGTAGTGGCTTATTAATATCTACTTTGGATATGTTGAAACTAGCAAATTAATATCTATAAAGTACAAACTAATGAAACTTGGAGGGTCCTCTTTTCTTTTTTTAATTTATATATTAAATAGTATTGATAGTCCTTTTAGACATAACTACTAATGCGGCTATACTACGAAATTTTTTTTTTTT